TGCTGACCTCGACTGGGGATATTGTCGGGCGGTGGAAGGAATACTTCGAGGTTCTCCTCAATCCCCCCGTCACGTCCTCCGTCCAGGAGGCAGAGGCTGAGGATGTTGGGGCGGATACTTACATCTCCCTGGCCGAGGTCACCAAGGTGGTTGGCAGCCTCCATGGTGGCAAGGCGCCGGGAGTGGATGAGATCCGTCCTGACTATCTAAAGTCTCTGGATGTTGTAGGACTGTCTTGGCTGACACGTCTCTGCAGCATCGCGTGGCGATCGGGGGCGGTACCAATGGAGTGGCAGACCGGGGTGGTGGTCCCTCTCTACAAGAAGGGGGACCGGAGGGTGTGTTCCAATTATCGTGGGATCACACTCCTCAGCCTCCCCGGTAAGGTCTACTCCAAGGTACTGGAGAGGAGGCTACGTCCGATGGTCGAATCTCGGATTCAGGAAGAGCAGTGTGGTTTTTGTCCAGGTCGCGGAACACTGGACCAGCTCTATACTCTCCATCGGATACTCGAGGGTTCATGGGAGTTCGCCCAACCTGTCCACATGTGCTTTGTGGATTTGGAGAAGGCGTTCGACCGTGTTCCCCGGGGTGTCCTTTGGGGGGTCCTCCGGGAGTACGGGGTCCGGGGTCCTCTGCTGAGGGCCGTCCGGTCCCTGTATGACCGGAGTCAGAGCTGTGTTCGCATTGCCGGCAGTAAGTCAGACCTGTTCCCGGTGCATGTTGGCCTCCGCCAAGGCTGCCCTTTGTCACCGGTTCTGTTCACTGTATTTATGGACAGAATTTCTAGGCGCAGCCAGGGGCCGGAGGGGGTCCGGTTCGGGAACCACAGGATTTCATCTCTACTTTTTGCGGATGATGTCGTCCTGCTGGCTCCAACGAACCAGGACCTGCAGCATGCACTGGGACGGTTTGCAGCCGAGTGCAAAGCGGCTGGGATGAGAATCAGCACCTCCAAATCCGAGGCCATGGTGCTCGACCGGAAAAAGGTGCCTTGCCCTCTTCAGGCGGGTGGAGAGGTCCTTCCTCAAGTGGAGGAGTTCAAGTATCTCGGGGTCTTGTTCACGAGTGAGGGGAGGATGGAGCGTGAGATTGACAGGCGGATCGGTGCAGCGTGCGCAGTGATGCGGTCGCTGTATCGGACCGTTGTGGTAAAGAGGGAGCTGAGCCGAAAGGCGAAGCTCTCGATTTACCGGTCAATCTTCGTGCCCTCCCTCACCTATGGTTATGAGCTTTGGGTAATGACCGAAAGAACGAGATCGCGGATACAAGCGGTCGAAATGAGCTTCCTCCGCAGAGTGGCTGGGCGCTCCCTTAGAGATAGGGTGAGGAGCTCGGTCACACGGGAGGAGCTCGGAGTAGAGCCGCTGCTTCTCCACGTCGAGAGGAACCAGTTGAGGTGGCTCGGGCATCTGTTCAGGATGCCTCCTGGACGCCTTCCTGGGGAGGTGTTCCGGGCACGTCCCACCGGGAGGAGGCCCCGGGGAAGACCCAGGACAAGCTGGAGAGACTATGTCTCTCAGCTGGCCTGGGAACGCCTTGGGGTTCCCCCGGACGAGCTGGAGGAGGTGTGTGTGGATAGGGAAGTCTGGGCGTCTCTGCTTAGACTGCTGCCCCCGCGACCCGGCAACGGATAAAGCGGAAGAAAATGGATGGATGGATGGATATTGAATTACAGATAAAATGAATTCTTCATAGATATACATTTAAACTGGTGTATTTTGATGTGAAATTCCAACAAGTGGATCAAGCAACTTGACAACTTTTTGACAGAATATTAGTGAGAGTAGTTGCATCCGCAACATTGGCTTTACTTGAGGCAAGATGGAGCGTCAACACTTTGGCTCTGTCCTCGTCAAAATATCGCAAAAGGACATTCAAAATTCTGTCCACATTTTTGTTTGTGGACTCGTCAATGTTTAAAGAAAAAGGTTTCCCTATCAACTTGGTGGCTAGTGCACAGTGCAGTTTGATCAACCGTAAAAGATTTAATTAAATCTACCAGCGGTAGTGATATTCTGAATGACAGGTTATTTTCTGCGATAAAGCCACAGACTCTGTCTGTGACTCTTTTAGGTCACAGACACAGTCCGCTATAGCAAGCCTCAGTTGTACGCACATTCCGTATTGTACATTACGTTAAATAAAATAGCATTGCGTTTGGTAAACGTTAATTAATTATGTGTACCTTTCGTCTGATAATGCGCCCAGCTTGTACCGGTCCGCGGGGCTGCTGGCTGGCTGTTATTGTTCCGTTCGGCATTCAATTTTCCTTCTCCTCTTCTTCTTTTCAAAAGCTCCGTGCAGTTGCCAGAAACTTTTATCACCGTATTAACATTGCTAGTTTGGCAGTGTCTTCATTTGCGCGTGAGGTCAGCGTCACAGTGCCTTGATTCATTTGCGGAGCGCTAAAGTAGCTATGGCCACGGCACATTCAAGTCTCACTCGTGATTATATTACTTTTATTTATAGATACACATATTAATACAATTATATTCATATTATATATATATATAGAGAGATATATAACAGATACACACGTATATGTATATTTCTATAATTAACCATTTAATTGTGTGTACTATTATTAGGCCCGAGCCCCAACTGGGGTAAGGGTCTATTGCTTTTCCAATGAGTAATTACTTGTTGTAACTGTCATAAGTTTAACCTGCACGCGACGGCACGTGCCCAAGCACTGATAAATCTGTGCTGGAGGCACGGAATGGCTTTGCTCCTGCTGTAGTACACAGTGAAATGATGTAAGTCCTATTAAAGGGGGGGTTCCTTCAACTGTCTTAAAGACCTTATGACGGGTTTTTTTTTTTTTTAAAATAGTGGATATCAAAATTGCATGACGATGTCAATTTGAAAGAGATTCCGGCAAAAAATATCCTATATTTTATAAAAAGAACGTGTTTTTCATGAATTTAAGTTGTCTATGCTCTAACCTGTGTGTGACGTCATAGCGGGTAACGACCATGCATTGAAAACCATGGATCTATGCCACAGGACTGCCTTTTCTCTCTTCTCTCCACTGATGCCCAACACAATACTGTCCTCTACAGGTGACAATTGCTCACTACACATAAATTGCCGTTTTGAGTGTAAAAAAGTGTCCGAGGTGGAAATTGAACCCAAGTATCTGGATTGGCAGTCCAGCGACACAACCACTGGACTATCTCAGTGACAACAAAACGTTACATTCTAGTAGTTATATTAGACTCGCTGTACACGGCCTTGTCATCTTGAATATCCGCAAAAAAAGAACGAATACCAAATTGTAAACAACTTACAGCGTTAAAACGTACCCGTTCTGACGTCACCAAGGGCTGTGAAGTTTTTTCGTTTCTAAGGGCGTTGCTATGGGGTTATTTCGATTTGGGGGGATCAGACAAAAAAAACAACAACTGATTTTGAAACCTTTAGTAGTTCTCTTCTAATATAAAACGGTATTAAAACTGTATTTCTAAATAAATCAAACCCGTCATAAGGTCTTTAAGGACGAATGTCCGGGCGGCGCGTGCCCAGACACCAATAAAACGGTGCCGGAGGCACTGAATGGCTTTGCTCCTGTTGTAGTACACAGTGAAATGAATGGGGTCCTATGGAGGGGGGGAGTGACCTCATGATGTCGAGGCGATTCAATCACCAAGAACCCAATAGTTGCGTCCGCCTGGTCGTTCGTTTTAAAACGATGTATCATTTGTATTATAGGTTACTATGGAAACCTATATTGTTTTTGCTCGAAGATTTTCCAAAAAAAATCCTTGGTTTGGTTTCTTTTTTCTTCTGCACTTTGAACCTTAATTTGACCCCCTGAACATTGATGAAAAGTTGTGAAATTTTGCCCAAAATTCAGAACCGGCAAAAATTTTCTTTTTTTGGTGTTTATTTTTATGGGACTAAAAAAATGCCCGAACAGCGCCCCCTACAAAAGTCAGTTTACATAGCGCCTATGGGAGCGGGTCGGCGGTCAAATTTGTCGTAGAGCCACAAAATTTGGTACACATGTTCCTCAAGTCAAGACATGAAAAAAAAGTTATTATGGTTCTGCCCCCTGACAAACAGGGAGCTCATTAATTTCAATGGGAAATGGAAAAATGAAAATGTATCTTTTTCACACATGTCGGTTGGAAATCATCTCCTCGGCCGTTTCACCGATTTGTCTCAAAATCGCTCCACATGGTCTAAACACATGTCCCATCAATAGTTGAATAAATAATTTGGATCAGTCAAACTTTGTCCGAGCAGCGGAGCGGCAAAATGTGACATTTTTATTCCCATTTTTGACAAAAGTGAATTTGCTCCCGTTTGCACAAACAAAGTCTGATTAGCACAAAATTTGAATCCATTGTTCAGCTCCAGGGTCTAGGTCATTTGAAAGTTCCATCCATCCATCCATCATCTACCCCTTAATCCATTTCTGGGTCAGGGGGGTGGCAGTCAGAGATGCCACCCAAGTCTCAAACCAGCCTCGGCCGTTTCACTAATTTGGCTGAAAATCGCTCCACATCGTCTCAACGCATGGACCATCAATAGTTGAATATAGAATTTGAATTTGTCAAATGGTCTGAGCGTGACAGACTCCCAAAGTGTGGTTATTTTCATAGAGAGGTGTGAAATTCCCATGTTATCCAATGGAGACTGTATGGACACACTTACAGATTGTATGTGCAAACAGGAGCACATTTACAAACTCCGATTCTCACTAAACTAAAAATCGGTTGTTCAACTCCTGGGCCTAGGTCACATGACAGTGTGAACAATGACATTGGCCCATTAGCGCCCCCTACAGACTGAGTAAAGGTTTACATGGGGATACAGGTATTTAGTTTTCTGTTGTTTGATCTCATATTTGACCCACTGAACAAAGCGGTGCGGCGAGGGCCGTTTAACGCCGCTTGCAACTTTAATAATTAATCTTTTTTACCTTTTTTCTCCAGACCAATTTCATTTGACGGAGTTCCGTCAAACTCTTTAAGCCCTGTTCTAATGCTATGTCAACAGCGTATTAGAAAGTCGGACCAACAGTCTTGTCCCTTCGGGGAGACTACTGTTGTTACACAAGCATTCTCAAAACAGAATTTTGTTTTTGTTGGTTTCCGCCTTGATGATTTAATAACAACATTCAAAAATAAAAATAATTTCTTAAAAAAACGGGGAAAAAAATTATATTTAATATGGTATATTCGATAAATAAAGGTAAATATTTATGAGGATATATTGTAAAAATTGAAAGTATTTACGTTGAATTCCTCTGTGTTGTGCTGTGTATTTAAAGCAGCGTGCTTATGTATGTAAAGTTTCCCAAATATCCCCCTTTCTGGGACAATCATGTATACTATACTTAAAAAGGTTTTCAGTAGTTTGTGGCATACATTTGGGGATTTATGGGGAAATAATTCCCATGGATCCAGAGGCTAGTAAGCAAAAGAGTCACCAGAACAACTGTGCAATTCCCCACAGAAGAACCACGTTTGGTCAGTCCGCTTTCTCCATAAAGACGGCCAAACTGTGGAACTCACTGCCCACTGACCTGAAAAATATATCTTAGTTTAAGGAGTTCACATCAAAGCTCAAGGTGTGCTCAAAACAAACCAAAAATGTACCCATTTTTTAATCTGTAAATAATGTATTTTGTGTGTGTGTGTGTGTTTGATTGTGAATGTGTGTTGTCTGTGTATCTTTACATTGGTGGGGGGTATGTCTTAATGTTAGGTCACTGTTGTAAATATGTGTTTCAGGGCTGTCTATTTTATTCATTCAGTATGGAAAAGCTCATCCAGGGACAGGAATCGAAAACTAGCATTAGCTATATGTGTCGCATCAGTTGCACCTTTCTTGGTATAACTATGTATGACTACATTGACCCTGTAAAATAACTAAATAAATACATAAATAAAGTACATTTTGATGGTGATCCTACTTTGATCATCTCCAAGGCTACAGAATATCCATAATATATTTTTGTCTTTTGTTCCAGAAAATTATATAAAGTTCAAGTATATTTGCAAAGTCTGTTCAACATCAAAGCATAGTGTTTTGCACTGGCACATATGCTGGTCTGACCGCTCTTGTCTCGCTGTACCTCACAGTGGTCTCTGTAGAGCTTTTGTAGTCTCTTGATGTCGCTCAAGCTGATGCGCTCGGGCAGCGTCTGCACATCCAGGTCAGGAGAGGGGAACGGCGGCAGGATGTGAGAGGTATCTGTAATGGTAGGGACACACAGAGACCACTGCTGTCAATCACACCACCACACTAACTACCATACTTCTTGGGGCTTAGAGCGCACCTTTTACCAGTTACTGTACATAAATAGAACGCTGTTAAATGTAAGTCGCCTGCTCCACCCAGTGGCTACTCCATCTCTGCTTCTGTGAGCCGTCCTGCTCCACCCAGAGGCCACTCCATCTCTCCTGCTGTGACCCGTCCTGCTCCACCCATAAGCTACTCCATCTCTCCTGCTGTGACCCGTCCTGCTCCACACAGAGGCTACTCCATCTCTGCTTCTGTGAGCCGTCCTGCTCCACCCAGAGGCTACTCCATCTTTGCTGATGTAACCTGTCCTGCTCCTCCCAGAGACCACTCCATCTTTGCTGATGTGACCTGAAGGCCTGTGGCTGATTAATACTAATCAGTAAAATAGCTTTTTAGAATGATCAATTTTATTTTTTGCTGCTGCTGGACACCTGAATTTCTCCTTTGGGGATCAATAAAGTATGTATCTATCTGTCTATCTAATATTGAAATGTGGAGACTAAGCATTGGTATGAACATTCATGTATGATGTGTGCAGATGTGTCTCACTGATGTACTGCTGGTGGTGTTGGCTCTGTGCGGCCACAGACTGCTCTGGAGTGCTTCCACAGTGCTGAGAGCTCCCGCACAGGCTGTCAGACATGCCATCCACCTTCTGCAGAGGCTTGAACCTGGCACAAACAGCAGGGACACAGGGGGTCAGATCTGGAGACATGCAAGTGCTAATGAAGGCTGATATACATTATGACACCATTTAGGACATTTTAGGACATTTCAACACATTTGACAGCCTCAACTCATTTGTACAATACAAACTGCTAAATATAAACTTCTAAAGCACAAAATAAACATCTGCAAATACATCCTGATGCTGCCAACTACCGTGTATACTCCAGTAGTGTACTTATTCTTAAACCAAGTTAAGCAATTATAGCTCCAGTTTTATTTCATTTTATTATGTATTATCTTAATAAAATGAAATAATAGATCTTGTTTGATGTGTGCTGTAACGTGCGTAACGATGACAATGAATCTTATCCCCAATCCATCCCACTTAAGGCTATCCAGAGTCCAGACCCAGTGAGAATCTGTGAAAATTATTGCAATAAGCGATAATATTGCCGAGATCATTTTTAACTATACAATGATACTGATGCAGGTACACTTTTTCAAAGAGAAATAAACTTTTACTTTTAAAGACCAACGCCGAAGACAGAGAGGGAGAGAGAGACACAGGGAAAACATACAAGCATGCAAATGGAATTTATCACGGCCAGAAAAATTATCGAGCAGATTTTAATTATCATGCAATTACTTGATTTATTGAATATCGCGACAGGCCTAAGTGCACGTAATTTGCATTGAAGATCATTTTATACTCTTTTCAGATTCTTTGATTAGCACTTTCTAAAATGGTGAATTACTGCATTAAACTAATGTATAGATCAGGGACTCTGTAGAACACAAAGACAAAGCAGTCAGTAACAAGGATATATATAATTGCAGTCTTTTTGATTTACTAATGTGATCTGGTCAAACTGATTATGATTTAACCCTCTATGCACATGGGTCATTTTGGGGAACTTTCCTCGCCTGGTTTTCTTTGTGTATAATTGTTCATAAAACAGTCATCTTTTGATGCAGAGTCAAGCAGTATACTTTGTTTTTTTCAGTACAACCTGGGGTTTTAGAATATTCATATTGTAAAGCTGTCATATGAATTATATAAAAATTATGGAATCATGAAGACAAAGAAAAAAATCAAACGGAAAATCAATTTAACAAAAATGTATTGAAAAAACACAATGAAATGCTATAAACAACTTTTTACACTGCATAGAAATGTTATTTATGGTCTTGGGGATAATGGGGAAAAAAATTGAATCTCTAACTATTATACTTTTTACAAAATTCCACTATAAAAGCAAAACACTCTGTACTCCTGATGCCCTTCCTGAAGCAGTTTGTCTATAATGCTGGGGTTGCTTCTGTAGTACAGCTGTAAAAAACGTGAAACATAAGAAACTGAGCAAAAAAAAAAAAAAACATCAATTATCTATATCAGTGTTTTTCAACCTTTTTTGAGCCAAGGCACACTTTTTTCACTGAAAAAATCTTGCGGCACACCTCCAGGAGAAAATGTAAAAATGTATACAGTACTAATGTAAAAAAATATATACTGTACATACTCTGTGTGATATATAAAGTATATCTTATCTTATAATGTATACAGTATACTCTGTAGCCTATATTCACAATATACAGTTATTCTCATCAAAATGCTTAAGTCCAGGCCTTGAAATTAAGCTTTATTTAATATTTCTCGATACAATTAACAAGAGTTTGGGAATAAAGTGGCACTAACTGTGTGGAAAAAAACTAAGAAAATCCACTCTCTGCCCAAATAGTCAAATAATAACTCACACAAAGAACATGCATTGTTAGTGCATGGGAAACATTTTGGTATCCGAGCTTTAAATTCAGGAGTTTTGGATGAGGGACACGGGAGGTCCTGAACGCGAGTCCATGGTTCTGTCCGGTCCGCATGTCTGTGGTTCTGTCCACTCGACTACGGTCTGCGCTCGGTACCCAGTTCAGAAGTGCGTTCGCGAGAGCTGTTGTACAAAAATCGTACATTTCATAGTTAAACCACTACAACGCGGCCACAGCTACCCCGGGGCAGAGCGGAGGATGTTAATCCTGTTCAGAAACGGCATAATTCATTTTCAAAAACGTCTCTATCACTTTCACTTCTCACTCGCCACAAAGCTCTTGTCTCGCTCCCTCCCACATTTGTTGGTCGCATCCAATTTTACCTTTCTCGCCACAATGCTGACCTGTTACAGCCAGTGGTCGCATCCAATTTTTCAGTTTCAAAGTACTTAGCTATCTGCTGCCATCTACTGATTTGAAAAAGTATTACATGGTTACTCACAGTTCAAAACAAGTCACCGCTCGTCAACAGCGAATGCAGCTATTTTTAGACAAAGTAGACGAATTTCTCACGGCACACCAGACAATATCATACGGCACACTAGTGTGCCGCGGCACAGTGGTTGAAAAACACTGATCTATATAATACATATATCTATATACATCATATACACATCATGTCATTTTACTGTATTTATTATCGTCTTTATCAATAATGCGCACTCTTCAGCCGGTTATTGCTATCGCAGCTGTAGTTTCAACTGTGGGACAACAAGTACAGACAGAGGAGTGAGACATCTCACTCTCTGACGATCTTTGGCAGTCCCCGTGTGTTTGTATCTCACAGCTGTTTGTACCTCACGGGTCACGCTTTGGACACGGACTTTCAGACAAACGTAGTTTATCCTCCGTGCATCGCACAGACAAATCAAAACTAGTTTCGGAAAGCCCTGAATACGTACTTCACAGAGAAAAAAAAAGTAAGTTGCTACGTTTTACCGTTCGCGAGTAAATTGATCATTTGTAAAACATGTGCCCTATATGCCCGCGTGCATCGGCGCCGATGCACGCGGGCATATAGGGTTAATTGCAATTAATTTTGCAAAAAAGGTGCTAACCTCTGCTTCTGGTGCACAGGCTGCTGTCTCATGGCCATGTACTGGGAGTCCTCCTGGAGCCTGTTCAGCGGGGAGTCGGGCTTCACGCGGATGCCGTAGTAGTGATACTTGGAGTTTCCTCTGGTGTGGGGATTCACAGAGCAAGATTACCTTCCAAGTCATCAAACAAGACATGATCTGGATACAATTCCATCTGAAATCATTTCTCTAATAGGGCTGTATTAAGCACATATTTTTATCGTGATTAGTTGTTTTGATCCCGAAAGGTCAGATACAATTATTTCTACATTTGAGGCAATACTTTTGTTATTATATTTTAAGGATTCAACATAGCATCTTTAGAAATTAAAGGATACACTTCCTTTGTGTTTGAGTGTAAGACTGTTTAACCACATATTGGTGGATGTGGTGCTAACCTGGTGCCGAGGCGGCGTGTCCTCAGGCCCATGAACACAGAGCGGATGAGTTTCCCGAAGGAGGCGGCATTCACTGGGTCCAGTTTCTGCTCTTGACAGTGCCGGAGGTAGTGGTTGTAGAGGGAGCAGCGTGGCAGACTGACCCCCTCTGCGGTCTCATAGTTGTCCAACAGCCACTGCAGCTGAGAAACATGACAGTTCCTTTACTCTCACTCAACTGTTGAAACACCATTCACCTCTGAAATGCTCAACTTGGTTATAGACCCAGTATTTGTAAAAAGTTAGATGCAATATTGAGTGAATGATCACTCAATATATGGCACAGCATATATTAAACCATGGAATTTTAAGTTAAAGTCATATTTTAATGTATTTTAAGCTTAGAAGTTGCATACTTTGTCTTTTAGATAAACTTGTGGTATCCCAGCTTTAAATAGGTCTTTAAAAAATGTTGATCCTATTCCAGGACAGTAAACACTCTAAACCTGCACTACCGTTGTGTCTCATTCTGACACGCTGCAATCAGGCGCTCAAAGATGACGTGACGAGGGATACAAGAGTCAAAAGCAAATAAAACAAAATTACAAAAACTATTGCTCAGAACACATTGGCCTATGTATGCCGCAACACAACATTCACATTTATGTTTATATATGTTTGGAGTTCTGACAGGCAAGTGGCAGTTGATTTCGGTATCCTTCAAGTCTGAAACCATATTATTGGGGGCAATTTCCGATCAGTGTATCGGATCGGGACATCACTGGTCAAAGTATTAATTGATTAATTGAACTCTCTGCACAAAAGGCCTCTGTATATGGGCTAGTTCTCTGGAGCATTCTATTTGTAGCATCAGATCATCTCAATGTCTTTTTGCAGACTTCTTAAACAGAATGTAATAGAAAATGCAAGTGAATGAGGGAAATGAATTAGGCAGTAAAAAGACAAGAGGAGGTCATGTATCCACAACACACTGCCATAGCACAACTTACATGGCTGTTGAGCAGGCTGCTTTTGTGACTTGCAATTCCTTCAGTCTTTTGGAGGTTTTCAATCGCCATTTCAAGCTAAAGAAAAGAGCAGCATGCAAAAAGAGTGGAGAGAAAGTGAGAGACAGAGAAACAAGTGTAAGCAAAAGATAAACGACAGGAATCAAATCACATAAAAAAGGATACAGGAAATAGGTTTGTGAACAAGCAGCCATATCTCTGTGTTTCCATTCAAACCAGGGCTATCAGGGCTGTAGCCAAATGCATTATTGGCTGACAATAGCATGCAAATCAAGGGCTTCTTAGGCTAAGCTTCTCACACACAACCTAATATATGCAAATGGAGGCTGCAAACAGGGCTAGGACTGGTATCAATGAGGCCAACAGGTCAACAATACCCAGAAATAAAACGTATTAAAAAAAATCAAAAAAGAGATACTCAGAGCATTTACATGTGACCGTTGAATGTTTGCCTTGTATGAAATTACAAGATAAGAGTTCACAGCCATGAAAACATTAGATCATATGTATGCATTTGCAGTTTGACTCAACTTTTTTGGACATGTAGGTATATGGGCTAGGGTTGTCCCATGTATCAAAAATCTGTTCTGATCAATCCTGGTTTTACTTTACTTATGGTTTTAGTACATTGGCCTTGTATCAACAGCTTGGGTTTAGAATGCCAGCCATTATGTCAATTTTTACTGATATTTGCAGAGCCACAGCATATTCTGTGTTACTGCCATAATCACATGCTATAACGCATTTGAAAAGTGAGGTTTTGAACTTTCAGATGGTGAAAACTTTCCGTTTCTACCAGCTTTTGCTCCTGAGATATCCTAAGCAAAAGATGGGAAACTTTCATGAAAATCCCTATGAATTTCCCAGAAAAGGAGATAGAGAACCTTTTATAAAATGTGTTTTTTTTGAGGTGTACTTCTGACACATACATTTCTGTATGTGTCATAAGATAGATATATCTTATAGGCGTGGGGTAGGCTACAAAGAACGCATTTATAAAGGAATAATTCAATCTATATGAATATCTATACCTCCTTTACAATGAACACTGGAGATGAAATTTGATCCATATGAAGATTTATGGCAACAGCAACAACTATATGAATGTACAATTAGAATACAAATGTTTATTTGTAGGAATATAATAAAAAATAAAATAAAAAAATAAAAAGATCCTCCTCCGCTTCTTTGCAGACAGCGGCAGGAATACGCGACAGCTGACACGCGCAACTCGGTTTGTTCTGACTGGTCCCTATTCCGCTCAGACCATCCCGTGGTGATCATACAGCCTGAGCACCTGCCTCCTGAACACCTTCCTCGAGAGCAACTCCCTCATGAGCACCTTCCTCCTGTGCACGAGTCCCTAAAGTTGACTCACTTCTTCGATGTAAAAAGCGATCAAGCGTGTCTAGCGGATGCTTTTTTTGATACTTTTTCCTCATCTCTGTCAGCAGCTAGCAAAACAATGCATCAGTGAAGTTTCCGCTAAAGGATGAATCAAGACTGCCACCAAGTGACAAATCCAAGTTAATATATTTTTTGACTTCAACCAGGATCACTATATCAGGCAAAGCAACAACCACTCAAAGCTGCGTTATGAACAATTAACACACGTTAAAGAGTTTTAGATCGTCATATAAGCAGTTCAATTTATCATAGCATGCCCAAATTTACACACAATGGGCCTCATGTATGAAACTTGCGTACGGCCAAATCAGGGTGTAAATGATGCGTACGCAAAAAATGTACACTTTTCCGCATATATCAATTTGGACGTGAGCGTACGGTACGCACAGAATTTACACCAAGTCAATGTGTGTACGCTCATTTCACCCTTCGTCACAACACGCCAAAACACGCATGAAATTCAAGATTTGGACAACAATAAACATGTTCCCACTCTGGCAACATTATAAGCTGCGTTTTCATGGAGCATCATGTTTTGGAATTTGAATTTGCGCATCAGAAAAAGTCTAACACTCTGGAAACACGCAAACTTTGAATAAATCACAGATCATGATGAGGAGCCTCTTCTGTTTCAATGATTTTAAATCTGACTTCTGTGTGTATTATTTTGATCTGTATGTTTTTAAAATGTGAAGCGCTTTGTGATCCTGGACAGAGAAAGGCTCTATACAAATACACTTTACGCGACAGGGATGTGTGACCCAGCTATTGACACTCACTGCCCTGTCCACCCGCAGCGCTCTCTTGGGAGCGCATCCACAGCAGGTGCCATGAGAGATAACTCCTCAAATGCTGTCATTCAGAAGTTTTGGCTCCAGAGTTTCTCTGTAAAATCTGGACCGCAGACGCTCTCACAAGTGTACAGCGCTTCAGTGCATTCACAATACGCTGCAGACGCTTCATTGATGAGAGCCACTGCTGCACAATATGAATTAATTAATTCATTCTTTCTTTATTTATTCACTTCTATCAAAACATTTCTACAAATGTATTCAAAACGCAGCTGAATAAATAGCGTAGCGTATATAGCGAATATTTATTTGTACATATGCATGAACAACCTGTGGCAGACCTTGCGCCGTACATGTAATTACGCATATGTTTTGCCTCATTCACCTCATGCAAAGCAATGTGGGTTTTCCTTAGTTTTGTGCATAAAGCCCCATAAATGCACCTGATCTTGCTCAAAACTGTCTCAGCCACTGCCCTTTACTCCGCAGAGCAGAGATAGGATGCGACGCGCACCAGCAGTATAGTTCATAGACACTAGGGAAAAAAGTGTATATATAATATAGCGTATATATATATTTTTTAAAACTTGAATAAACTCAAAAGTGCGTGCTTTTTGCGGCTGCTTAGCCGACCTCCTGCTGACCTGTCGCAAAAACAGGGCGTGGAACAGGCAGTTTTTGAATATTTCTATTCAAAAACTCATTGAGTTAACTAGAGAGATCTGTCTACACTCGCCCTTACTGGTCATGGGCAGGGCTGGACTGGGACCGAAAAACGGCCAGGCATTTTTTGCCTCCTTGACGGCCCGGCCGTTTCTTTTTTTTTTTACGGTTATTTTTACAATATGCGGAAGCACATACTGTAGAGGCTTAGGATATATGCAGCTTCAACAATTATAATAAAGTTCAATGATCTCCATGGAGAGTAATAAACATGTCACTACAGAGTAAGACCTAGCGTACATCGGACTGGCAACTGATTATATCCGTCGCCTCTGAGTTGCTGCCCCGCACACATCGACAATCTGGCGAAAACGGGCAACTCTGAGTCGCAGGCCAGTCTCTTGAATAACAGCGCGTACATCGACAGCAACTGGCCTCAACTACAGTGTGTTTTCTGACAACTAACTGTTGCGGGCTCGCAATACACACAATACACACACGTTGTTGGAGCGGCGCATGGAGCGCGCACATCGGGGCAACTGAGGACAACTAGTTGCCGAAAAGTAGAACACGGGCAACTGACTGGAACTGGAGACCGACTGATCATCTCCAGTTGTAAGAGCGCGCACATCGACCGATTTCGGCAACTGATCATCTCCCACCATCTCCTCTCAGTTGCCAAAAGCCGCCTTGCAACTAGTTGTCCCCAGTTTCTCTGTCGATGTACGCTAGGCTTAAGGGAGACGGAGATAGCACCATTTTGTTTATCACAGGGATGAGAATGGGACGTTTAAGTCTGAAATGCATAATGTTAGCCAATGGCTGTCATTAAATCTGTTTTCTTTGTTCACAACATTTTACTTTTGGGCACAACTAACATGAACTGTTAATGCAAGAGGAAAATTTGGTCATGCGCGCCCCCTCAAACATTTCTTAACAGATTTACACAGATTAACACAAAAAATGTCTTTTTGTATGAGGCTCACAGCCCGGCCAAAGTATCGGCATTGGGCATTGCCCGGTACGCCCGATGGCCAGTCGGGCGTGTGCAAGTGCTCACGGCGAGTAGCAAGCATACACCTGCTTAGAAAGTAGTGTTCAAGCTGTGTCGAGTTCATGAAAGGCATTCCCTGTGAGTATAAGTGCAAAGTGAGTTAATGAACTTTTTCTGTGATTTAACTATTTAATTAGGCCATGCCAGTTTGGAAGCCTGCTGCTTGCATTCGAACAAAAACATTTACATTTGTACATTTCTGTACACCCAATTTACCATACAAAGAACAAGGTCTAAACCATGGATCTATTATAATATCTGGATAGGGTATTACTAGCTTGGAGTTGAAGAACCCATGTGCTCGGGGGATTCTCGCGGTATTGCAGACCAAACAAGGTTAAATTCACGTGGGCTACCCAAAAATTCTCCCCATAGAACTCAATGTGTCTACTTCCGCCTCCGTCGAGCAAAGACGTGTCTCAGACCGCTCCTGCTTCTGACTGCTTGCTATCTCCTGTTTTTGTCTTTTTCCTGGAGTTTTGCCACAGACAACTTTAACAAGAATGAAAATGATTAACTGGTCCCTCAACGCAATTGATTTTATCTTTTCAACACGTAAGCGTGGGTCTGGAGAGCCCGTGGGTCTGGAGAGCCCGTGTGTCCGGACGGGACTTCACCAGCGGGGTATACTCTTGACAGCTGGAACAAGTTTCAGCCCTTCTGTCTGTCGACCCTGTCCATTGAAGATTCGGAAGACGTATATATCTTTGGCATTTTGGTGGTGGGAATCCTCCTGTTTGGGTTTGGAGCAGTTCTCTTCTACCACAAATTTGGAGGCATGGCAGTTCGCAAGATTCACGACCTGCTGGCCGACAAAATTGATGGGATGTACAAGGAGCTTAGCCGCGTCATGGTTGAGAGTGCCGTGTCTGGACAAAGGAGAGTGGTTCTGGTGGAACAGATTTGCCCCTGTGTACGGGGTCTGAGGGCGCCGCAATTCGGTTTAATTGGATTTAATAGAATATCTGCCTGCTTTTAACTGCTACATTGCATTTAATATTGTCCCCCTGAGGCGATGTGTTTTCTCCTCCTGTGCCTTCTCTCCACTCTTATCTCACATTCCTTCGGCCAAGGCCACAATAACAAGGTCCCAATCTACAACAATTTCACACTATTCAGTCTCCAGCACGGATCCCGCTCCC